AACCACTAAAGTTTGAAGCAAAACTCTTCCTGAAGTACATGTTGAAGAAAGAGTGTTAATTTCACTATTTTCTTGATTGCATTCGACAGGAACTTTTGATTTCTGCTTAAATTCTAGACAAAAAACAATGTAGTGCTTCCTACCACAAAACATGCATAGAACTTTGCTTTTACAATTTTTAGATCTGTGGATTGTTTTCAAACACGTAAAGCAACATTTTTTCTCTTTCATAATTTTAAATTTTTCATCATGACTTAAATTTTGTGCTTTGTAGCAATCTTTACTTTGATGAGATTTTTCGCAGAATATACAATTTATTACATTATTGTTATTTATTTCTTTTGCTCCCAAAAACAAGTTGCTTGCAGTAGGTATAGTACAGTACTAAGTCTTTAATTCGGACTCGTCGGGACTTCGGCGATTCCAGATTAGGGGTTTTTCCGGATTATACATCATCAATTTAAATCTGGTAAGATGGCATGCAGAAATTATAAAATTAAAAATATGAAACAATAATTTATGAAATAAAGAGCAATTATGATCTAAAGGGTATCAAAATTTACAAAAAAAAAAGCTTAATATTTATTTGTTTACTTTATTAAACATTTCTTTTAATGCAAGTTCTTTAAGTTGCTTCGTTTTTTGTGCTAATAGTTTCTCTTTAATTCTATAAACAGACATAATTTCTTGTTCAGTTCCACTGCTCCAAGTCCTGTAATTGCTGTGTCGAGAATACCGACTAACTTGTCAATCAAAATTTTTTCGTTTTCAATAACCTCTCTGTCACTTTCTTCACTATCAGAAGCGGTACATCGAAACATGCTTTCACTTTGTAGATCCTTTGGAAGCTCCAGAATCGGAAACTCTTTTTGACATAAACGAAAGTTCAAGCGTACGTTTTATAAAATTGCTCTAATAGTCTGCCAATTAGTCAGTCTAACAAGCCAGATCCAATTAGAAGATTAAGGAACAATGCAATCTGCAGCATTAACTGAAATAGATAATTAGATAATTTTAGCCTAACTTATACTGCCCATTATACATTAAACGCGCATGCATAAACGTATTATGTGCATGCATAAACACATATGCGCATGCATCAATGCAACACATGCACAGAAAGTTTGTAGCTTTGAGGTCAGGATTAAAGACTTTGTACTGTAATACCTTCCCTATCCTTATGAACTTTTCTATAGGGATCACTTCATCTATAGGGATTTTCTTCATACCTGACTTTGCTAGAGTTATTCTTTCTTCTCCTTCGACCTCAGCCCTTAGAAAATGTAAAAGTTTGGTCAGTCTTGCACTATATCAGTGTGGTCCAACCTTTAGTTACCCGAGGGGCAATCAAACGTTAGTATAGGAGAGTGAGGGCCAGAGACATTAAAGAAAGAAAATGTATTACATATAAATCACTAGTTTAATATATCTTTAGGAATAAAAGAAATTGTCATCTGATGGACAACTTTGCCAATGTCAGTGGTTTCCCGCTAAATCTGCTATTTTGTATTCTCTGCAGCACAGGTTCACCAGCTAATTCCCATCCTAGCGACTGTTTTACACTGCTTGTTTTTCATAAATACTGTTTATTCTGTTTATTATTATTTAAAGCAGTAAGAAGGGTCTTTTGTTTTTCTAAATAATTAACTAATTTCCCCCCCCCCAGTAAGAAGGGCAAGTGCCAACAAAATTAATAAGAGGACTGCGGGTTGGACCACACTGCACTATATGATTTCTCTTCATTTACTGAGTTTCTTAACTAAACTCTCAACATGTCTTCTGGAATACTAGACTCCACAAATGGAAGAACATTGTAGAATATTTGTCTGAGGTCATCCCTATGGATTCTAATGATCTGAGGTGGGATTCAAGTTTATCATATAATTGAGTGATACTAAGCCTTGATTTGGTATTTTTTAACAACTAAAATTAATAGTTAATGAAGATAAATAATCCACTAACAATTCCTTATGGCCAAATCATGTTTTGAGGCTTTCAATCACTTTTGTATAATTTTCTTAAGTAGGTGGATAACTATCAGTGATGTCTTTCACTCTTGTACCTGGCAACATACACTGTATTAAATATTGGAATTTGTCTTCCAACTCCATTTCTTTATGATTGTGAATTTGTTTAAACTGAGTCCAGAAACACAACCATTCTTTAACTTCACTGCTAAATTTCATTAGTTCAAGTTTGGGAAGTTTTATTTTTTATTTCCCATTACTCAATATATTCCTGTTTGGTTGTGATTTACTTTCTATAAAAGAATCAATGCAAACTATAGCTTTATCAAATTTAACTTTATATTCTTCTACAGATTCAGATTCCTCAGAATAACTTTTGGCGTTATTGTCTGCACTTCAGGCAAGTACTAAAATTTCATTTCCAAGAGCAATTAAATCAGCACTAATGACTAAGCACTTTGTTCTAAAGTAGCTAATTTAATCTTAAAATTACTTATTTCTGTATTTTCATCATCAAATGGAGACATTCAGCTTTTATATGTCTTAGTAAACAGTGTTCATAACAGCGATTGCTTCTTAACAAGATGCTCTATTGCAAACCAAAACCAAAAATTTAATTAAATTAAGTATTTCTTATATGAAGTACTCACCTCTTAAATTTTAATCACATACTAAGGGTCACCAAATGTTAGATACGACAGTAAATGTTCACCATTTTTTTCATTTATGCACTTATTTCTACCTAAATAATCTCTAAGAATTTAAACATAACCAAACAAGTTTATTTTACCAAAATATATAACTTCTTATAACTGTTGCCACTTAAAACAAAACTAAAAAGAAAATAATGCTATACTGATTGAATATATGTGAACAATGCTATACGTAACAGGCATGATATTCACAACCATTTATAAGGTTTTCAATGTGATTTCACATAATTCCGATTAATTCTCAATAAGAAATAATGGAATTGCAGTCCATTCATTTGCAGAGGAGCCTTTGTTAGCAGAAAAGTTCAATTCCCATTTTAGGGAGGAAGGATTTGTACCAAGGTTTTCTCTTTCGTGTAAACCCTGACATTCTTTTTTACTGCTTATTGCAAATGTTCTGACCGTTTTATGTACTGTTTAACACATTGACTGCCGCGGGCATTTGACGTGGTTTGCCCAAGACCTCAACTTGAAATTTTTATTATGCGATGTATATTATGTTGAAATATTATCTACAGAAGATAATGTGATTTATTTAATCGTGCTTAATGCATTTTTCGGGTGGGGGTCACTGGTGACCCCCAAACATCTGTACACCATTTTTGTGATTTATAATTAAAAATTTTATGATTTATTATTCTTCAAACCATTACAGTAACAAAGGTACTACAGTACAAAGTCCATAATCCATATGTCCATTATCCGGAATGATCAATAATACGGACCTCAAAGCCACAAACTTTATGCATGCGCATATATTACGCTTGCACGCGTTGAAAGAAATGTTTAATAAAGTAAACAAATAAATATTAAGCTTCTTCTTTTTTTTGTGTAAAATTTGATACCCTTTAGCTCTTTGCTCTTTATTTCATAAATTACGGTTTCATATTTTTAATTGTATAATTTCTGCATGCCATCTTACCAGATTTAAGTTGATGATCTATAATCCGAAAAAACCCCTAATGTGGAATCGCCGAGGTCCCGACGAGTCTGGATTACGGACTTTGTACTGTATTTAAAAATTTATCAGTAACAATATTTACTCTAATTATGTGTTTTACTATTTGTCACGTCGCCATTCACATGTGGCACCCACGGCGCTGTAGCCAAGTCGAGTGCCGGTCACTGGTGACCCCCCACGGCTGTCTACACGTTAACTGATTGTGTGCCATGCAGTATTTCAAAAATGAGAGACAGAAGCGAGATCGTATTAAAATAATAAATAAACTGGAGTTACTCAGCAAACTGATAACTCTTTTTTGCAAATGGATTGACTTTTTGCGTATTGTGTGAAAGCAACACAGAGTTCATCTTAACATAAGTAGATAGTATTTGACTTTTTTTTTTTTTTTAAATTTATAGTTGTTTTGTATTCTTGAAGGCCTACAAAACTAATGAATTATGAGCTGCAAGATTTAAACATTTTGAAATTAATGACCAATATAATTTTGTAGCTCCCAAATCTCGGATGCATATTCAAAGCATTAAAAGATTCTGGGGTTCAGCAAAACTGTGCAATAAGAAACATCACACAAGTGTTATATATTTATTTATGTATAAGTTTTCTATATGCTATATTTGTAATTTGTGTCTATTGATTATCTAAATAATGATCTGTGATTTTTAACAAAATAAATGAGTGACTTCTTTCTTCAAAGTTTTGCCAAAATGAACTGGTGCTAGTGTGGCAGATCTTCAACTTTTAGGTCTACAAGAGCCAATTTATATTATCAATGGGAAGACACTAAATGTGTATAAAAGTAATAGAGCATATTTATTACCAGAAAATGTTATTTTTTATTGATAGTACCTCACTAGCAACTGAATGGTAAAGTTGCTGAACATCAGGACTTTAAGCTGGGTTCAGGTTCCAAATAAATGAACTGTGTAGATGCTTTCTAGGTTTTCATCGTTTTTAATTATGATATGAGGGAGTTTCCATAGAAAGTTTTCTATAAAGGTATCTGCTCTTAGGCAGATAGTCCTTATGCACTTTCCTATAATAATTATAAAAATAAATAGTAAATAATGATGATAAAATGTATTTAGAAGATGTTAATTAGCTATATATCTGTAGTTACATGTGTATACTGTTTTGCATGAAAACGCCGTTGTATCATACATATATTGATTCAGTTTATAAATAAAAATTAAAATGTACTAAAAAAGACATGCAACTGGTTAAAAACCAAGTTGATGCTGTTTCAGAATATTTATTAAATAATGTAGATCAGAGCTAGTAGTTAAAATTTTAATAAATTACTCTGATCATAAAGTTTTGCTGTCTTCTTTCTTTTCATGTGTAACCTTCATGCCTCAGTTTAAGGAACTTCTGATGCAGGGTTGTCAGAGGCCGCAGACTGCGTGTGACCCAAGAAGCAACCATGAAGAGCAAAAGAAATATCAAGACTCCACTCCACTGATACAATTTAATGTTGTCGATGGTGTTCGAGGCTGGCTTTTAACATGATGAGCCAGGTTATTTAATAGTCCATGTTGGAGTAAAATAAAATACATTTTTAGTGGAGTTACGATTCCAAATCTTCATTTGACTTATGCATGAAGTGATTATCTTCATTTTGATATTATTGTTTGTATGTTGCTATTGTGCATCTATGTTCTTGTTATAAAAAATGAAAGGATTCTATGTTGATGATGTCATTATATTAAAAAAATATGTTTTTATGCTTTTTTTTTACTCATCAGCCATGATTAGTATTGGGTAGTGATGATTCACCATATGAATAAAGTGAATCACTAATTCTCTTAAAATTTTTCTATATATAGTGCAGCCTGAGCAAATCTGAACTAATGTGGTCAAACCCACACATTTCTCTCCTAGAGGTGAAATTAAAAAGTGGGCAAAGCGGGAATAACTTTAGCAGTCAAACCTACCAAACCCAAAATTTTTCAATGAAACCTATGCAGTCATGTGAAGTAATTATGTTGGAGGTCACAAGCTGCCATTGATATTAGAAATAATTTGTTTGCCCCAAAAAAGAGTTCTTTCCTATTACGCCCTTCCCCAACTGTATGTTTATCAGAATTAACTTGTTGTACTTTCAATATTAAGTAACGATTAAGGTGGAATTCAATGGAGCTGGAAATATTCGATGGTACTCGTAGCAAAAATTTTCTCCTATCTTTCTCATACTTTCTGTAGCTTATTTTCATTTTTGTGTTATCACATTTCTAGGTATCTTTGTAATTGTTGATGATCCAATAATTCAGCAAATGATTACATTAAAAATATGCATTAATAATTTTCTGTATAATTTTGAATAGACAAATAAATTTCTATTCTCAGTGCAGTACAAAGTCCAAAATACTGACTCGCTGGGACTTCGGGGATTCCGGATTTGGGATATTTCTTGATATTAGATCATCAGTTTAAATCTAGTAAGATGGTGTGTAGAAATTATAAAATTAAAAATATGAAATCGTGATTTATGAAATAATAAAGTATTTATGATCAAAATTTACAAAAGAAAAAAAAGCTTAATATTTGTTTACCTTATTAAACATTTCTTTCAATGTAAGTTAATTCGTTTTTTTGTGATAATACTTTCTCTTTCATTCTGTAGACAGACATAATCTTGAAATCCTGTAACTGTTGTTTCGAAAATTTCTAACTTCTCTGTCACTTTTGGTAGCAGTATTTTCTGGATTTAGTACCGTACTACAGATTTTGCCATTCATTAATTGATTGATGATTGAGAAGCATTGTCATCACAATGAAAAACTTCCTTTATATAATCTTAATTTATTACTCCTTCTCTACATTTCTTTACAAAATCCGGTTAATTGGAAAATTTCACCTTTGTTTTGTGATATCCAAAAACCTTTGAAATTAGTGGCTATCGTCATCAAATTTAGCTATCCTTCAGTATACATATTTGGCTATGCGTCATGAGCTTGACAACTAACGACAAGTTGTTCCATTAAAATTTTATCTTGCTTCTAACACGCACTGAGACAATTAAACCTGAATTGTATTTGTTTAGTTATTTAGTATACTTATGTCTATTTCTTGCATATGTTTAAGGCTTATCAGAGTTCTGAATAAATAAATTACCACATATACGTAAGCCTTATTGAGGGTCAGCGCTAAATATCTTATCGCCTGATGCAGTCTCTATGGGTCCTAAATTCTGCTACTCGGTGCGGCGATATGAGCCCTGGCTCTGGGTTTATGTGAATAACAAATCAGTTATTCTTAATTCAAATAGCCCTAAATGTAACCTTTGGGTCTATGAGTATCATCAAGAAAATCTAATTTTAGCATATGCAATGAAATATTTGGTAAACTTTTCCTCGTCAGCATTTTTAGGGCATTTAATTTAAATCTGTAATCATTGCCAAGCGTAATGTTAACATAAAAGGTTATCATAGTCCTTTATTATTCAATTACTAACATAAAAAAATTGTTTAGGCATGAGTCGTTACTCAAGTTGTCATGTTTTGATAAACATGCGGTGATGAACAGAAAGTATTGTTATGCTATTTTCTTTTTTCACGTTCGTAAGGGTTCATGTCGATTTCGAGTGAATAACGACGACACTACTTGATGCAGTATCGAAACACACTTTATTGGCCTGTATTAATCGGGACAACTCCAAAACACGTTTACAGTCGTCGATGAACTACTATAAACACGCCGACAAGATCAGCGACACAGCCTCCAGTTTATCAGGCTATCATGATAGAGACAGCTTAACGGCAAAGCACTAGAGTACAGCTCCCGACTCTGCTTAGTCGTTCTCGGAACTCCACGTATTCTAGAGAATTTTCACACTACAACTCGCGATGCACTCGACGACACCAGAGTGGCCACAAAGTGGGCTTACGGTTGCCAGATTTGGCGAGAAATCCCGTTTGCCGATAAAATTGATAATACACAGAGTGACAACATTCTAGGACACATATTTAATGATTTTCTCAAAAATATTCTCACAGTTAGGTTAAAGCTATATATAACCTGCCTGTTCTAGGAGAGAGTGTGCCTTGAGTTCAGAGATTAGCTTGAGATCGATCAACTGAGTTGGGAGCTGTACTTTAATGCTTTGCCGTGAAGCTGTCTTTACTGTAATAGCATGAAAGCTGTGCTTCAGTGTATTTTTTATAGTTTTTTGATGAGTGTAAACGTGTCTTTTGAATTGTTCTGTGTAATAGTGCATGCTAACAGATGAATTGTGTTTTGATTCTTCAAGTGTTATCAGTTACGCCAAATCCATAGAATGCAACATTATTATGTTAAGAATATAAGGCGAATTAGATGGTCATATAATAATAGTGAAAATTTAATGTTAACTTATTGTTACAAATGAATGAAAACAGGATTCACAGCACTTCCAAAGATATTTTTGGCTTGGGATAAACAAATACGTAATTCAACACCCAAGGTGCATTATAAATAAATATTTATTAATTTTTATTGCTCTCACATCTTTAATATACATCAAGTTATACAAACTAATATTTTATCAAAGAATGAAATTACAATTTAGTTATAAGTTTTCTATTCAACTTTTTTATGAAAAAAATTTAACAGAGTTAGATTATATGAATATGGGAAAGTAAACGAAAGCTACATAGCTAAGTCACACAGATGACTTCACACATGTTTAAAATGTAAAGAGTATTTTTTAATATGTTTGATCTGATAGCCTTTTTCCTGGACTATGTGTCTGCTTCATGATTTCCATTACAGTAGTAGGGCTTTTTATTTCCATCTCTTCCACTATTTTCGGGAGTCTATCAATCATGGTGGGTTTGCATTTAAAAAGAGCTCTTTTCAAGAGATCAAAGGCACAACAGTCCATAGCTAAAACATCAGAGGACTTCGCAGAAATATGTTATGTTGAAAAGGTATAATATGGAATATCTGTGTTGAGAATCGAGCATTTAATAATTATTAAGTGCAGTTTCAGTGGCATCATTGTTTTATTGCTTTATTATGTTTTATGCATCTGGCATCACTGTTATTTTTGTCATTCTAAAATTTGTCATGTATACAGTAAGACGTATGTTAAGTTCTCTTTACCTTTTTTGTTAATAAAGTCCAAAATTCAATTAGTCATCGCTCTGCATGTTAATTTTATAACAGGTTATGGGTTTTAGCGACGTTTAAGTGCGTAAATAAATTAACGATGGCTATGTTGACGTATTTGAATCACGGATTTTCGTTTTCGATTTCAACACTTCCATCTGAACAGTGTGTAGGTAGATGCTACAGTGTGCCGACAGCCTTTTATTTTTGCTGCATATTTCCTGGTTAATAGCGACGTAATATGGAAGCTAAAAATTTTGTTCAGTGTACCAAATTGGAAGGTTTATCCAACTGGACTGATTGGAAATTTGAAATAAACTCTTTATTTGTGCTCAACGATTGTGCGGGCATCTTCGATAATTCCCTTATCGAGCCAAAAGCTCCAGCAGAAAGCGCGAATGAAAAAACGATACGCGAGTACAACTAAGCCTCAAAAGCATATGCAAAGGCGAATGCGAAAGCTGCTGTGATCATTCGCACAAATGTATCACCGAATGTGTTAAATTTGATCCGTATGCATGGTAATTCTGCACTAGCGATAGGGAATGAGTTATTAAGTAACTTTGAGAAGGTTTCAAGCGTAAAATTGGACACCCATCTGCAACAGTTTTTCACATTTCGGATCGAGAAAGACGAAAGTGTAATGCAATCACTCGCACGTTTTACGTACACTGTGGGTGGATCTTCAACGTGAGCAAGAGTTGAGCGGCGAAGGAAAGTTGCCGCAGAACCTGCTAGCACCGCGAATCTTATCTATTCTGCCTGATGACGAATATATAGAGTTCAAATAACAGTGGGACTCAATGCCAAAGACGGAAAAGTCATCTGAAAAACTGATCGAACAGATCAACATGCGGCTGCAGAGAAGAAATCAAGAGCTTAAAAACGAAAGTACGATAACATTTGTGGCAAATGCTAATTCTAGCTCAAAACATAGTGGAAAGAAATGGAAGAAGGGTGGTAAGAAACCTCAGGTGGTCAGCCAATCCCAACCCTTGACAACAAATAATGCAAAACTATGAACAAACTTAGTAAGACATGTAGAATTTGAGACATAAAGATGAGGCTGTAAATATTATTTGTTGGATTAAAAGATTCATATCCAGATGTAGAAATAGAAATTATTTTTTCCCATCTGAGCTCTTGATCGAAGAAAAGAAAGAGGCAGAGAAGTTCATTTGGTCAAGAATTCAGTTATAAAATTTTGGTGATGTCTCAGGTACTGTCAAAGGTCTTGTTGTTGTGAAAGATCAAAATAGCATAATACGAGTGAAGACCAAGATGTTAGAACGTGATGACGAATTTTCGTTCAAATATCCAATTATTGCCATCAAAACATCAAACATCAAATATTATGTTGCCATCAAAACATCACGTAGTAAATTGTTTAATACGAGACAGCCATTTAAAGAACTGCCATGCTGGTCTCCAGACTGTTGGTTCCATCCTGCGAGAAAATTTTTGGATTATTTCTGCAAAGCGTAACATCCGAAGTGAATTATCGAAATGCATGAAATGCAAAATTTTTACTTCAAAACCGTCTGTCACTCCGCCTATTTATCTTCCATTTGGACCGAGTCAGAGACTCGAAAGTTTTTGGAGTCATGGGCATTGATTTATGTCGTCCTCCCTTTCTAAAGGACAAAACCAAGGTATGGATTGTCATTTTCACATGCGCTGTGTATCGCGCCGTACACTTGGAATTAGTGAATAATTTGTCAACAGAAGGTTTCATCTATGCCCTCAGGAGATTCATAGCGAGAAGGGAAAGAATTTCAACAATCTACAGCGTCAACGGAACTAACTTCAGGGTTATCAACAACCTTTTGAAATCTTTAAATTGGTGTCAAATAGAAAATTCTGAAGACCTAGCTCCCATTAAATGGAAGTTCATTCCTCCAACAGCTGCGTGGTGGGAACGGCTTATTCGCAGTGTAAAAAATCTTCTAAGAACACTTGGTAGATCATCACTCAATTTTGAAGACCTTTCAACGATATTATGTGAAGTTGAAGCTGTAATGAATAATCGACCTCTTACATATATTTCAGAAGAATCTGATAAATTTGTTCCTTTGACTCCATCATCTTTTATTCAATACATCCAAGAAATTGGGATACCTGATCTAGAAAAAATTAATTTCCAGAAACTTCGAAAAAGATACCGGAAATGCCAAAATATCAAAGATCAATTGAGAGATAGATTTCGAAAAGAATATTTGGCAAATCTCGTTCAAAAATCAAGAGAAAAGGCTCAAGTGATCCAGACGGGTGATGTAGTACTAATTGAAGTAGACAACCGAAAGAGACTTAACTGGCCAATAGGCAAAGTCACAAAATTGTTTCCAAGTAGAGATGGTTGTACACGTGTGGCAGAGGTAAAAACCTCTTCAGGAACTTTTGTACAACCGATTCGTAAGCTTTGCCATTTGGAGCTATTGTTGATAGCAATTGGTAGTTGTGGACTGTATATTAATTCATAAAAGTCAAGTTGAGAAACTTGACAACATTTATTTTCTTTTAGAAACAATAATGCCGCTTAACGGGCAAACAGTGAGTAAGGAATAATTAACAATTGACTGACGCTTTGTTCGGGCAGAGGAACGGAGACTCGATGTGGACCGAGTGCATCTATATCGCTTACTGATTAGTACTGGGCTCTCGCCACTGACCTTACATGGCGCTGCAAACGTTAAGCCAGTACAAATACATAGAAATATTCTAACCGAGACGAAACATTCCGCCCGGCATTGAAATTTGATACAAAAATTTCAATTAATTAGTGACAAATTACAATAGTTCAAAATTGATAATCACATAAATAATTGTCAGATTACTATAGATCTAAAATTGAAGTATGGAGTTTAAGAGCATTAAATATTGAAAATAGTAATTATGTAAACAATATATAAGTTGACATAAAAAGTGTTACAATACACATACATTTCAAAATAAGCCATACAAATCCTTTAAACATATAATCATTATTAAATTATTGTAATGTATAAACTAATTCCACAAATATATATAAAGTCAGTAGAAACTTGAATATTACAATAAACAGATCTTTGATAAACAGATCTTTGATATAGATCTAGTGCAGATTCCTGAAGCAGTTTTAACTTTAGCTACACGTACCTTACCATCTGTACCAGGGATTGTCTCTAAAATTCTACCTAAAACCCAATGGCAAGGCGGCAAATTCTTATCCTTAAGTAAAACCATTGCACCTGTTTCTACATTGAATTTCTGAAACTGCCATTTATTGCGCTGTTGCAAACATCTGTGATTGAAAATTCTACCTAAGGTAATCAAGGCGGCAAATTCTCATCCTTAAATAAAATCATTGTTTTCTACATTGCCAATTGGGCGCTTTGAGGAAATCCATATTAATTGAACAAATTTTGTTGTCCGCTGCCACCTTGATAACCTATTATCAGTAATTTCAATAAGTTCAGGCTCTGGTATAGACGTGATTGGAACGGCCAACTAAAAAATGTCCCTGGCGTTAAAACTTCAAATTCATTAATATCATTAGACATAGGGGTTAATGGGCGTGAATTTAAAATTCCTTCAATCTGAGTAATGATTGTAAGAAATTCTTCCATAGTAACCTTAGTACTTCCCCATAGTTCTTCTAAGATGGTACTTAAAGGATTTAACTCCCGCTTCCCACAGTCCACCAAAATTCGGTGATCTAGGGGGCATTAATTTCCAGACTATACATTCTGACGTGAAATAGCTGGATAACGCCTCATCTGGTTTTTTAATCAATTTCTGTAAACGCTTTAACTCTGTATGAGCCCCCTTAAAATTTGTGGCATTATCTGTAATGATGGAAGAGATTTTCCCTCTTTCTAGCACAAAATCGCTTAAGAGCTGCTATAAAGGCTTCAGATGTCAAGTCTGTTACTATCTCCAAATGGATTGCCTTTGTGGATAAACATATAAATACAGCAACATAGATTTTAGGAAAAATTCCCTTGCGTTGACCCTTGAATTGTACATGAAATGGTCCGCAAAAGTCAACGCCACAATTAAGAAAGGGTGAAGTCGGAGTTATACGCTCAGTGGGAAGATTACCCATGACCTGATTTGCTGCAATTGGTTTGTTTTTAAAACAAATCACACAAGCATGAACTATCTTACGAGCCAAGCCCTTGCCGTGAATGGGCCAATATTTCAAACGCACCTGATGAAGTAATCCTCGCGCTTCGATATGTAGGTACTTCTTATGAAAATATTCAAAAATCAACACAGTAACTCTATGAGTGGGAGGCAAATTAACTGGTGTTTACAATCAAATAATAAATTTGAGTTTTTTAATCTTCCTCCAACTCTTAAAAGAGAATTCTCATCTAGAAAACGGTCAAGACCTGTTAACTTACTTTGTGCAGGAATAGGTTTACCTCGTCAAAGAGCTGTAATTTCCGCAATAAAGGTAGTTAATTGGGCATGGCGTATAAGAAACTCCTCAGCTTTTTTCATCTCATCTAGAGTTGAATATCCCCGCATCTTATCCTGGGATTTACAATTTAAGATAAACCTGAAAATAAAACTGAGAATTCTGATTAGCTTACGAAAATTATTGGAAAGTTTTAGAAAGGAGTCTATAAAATGTTCATTCATTGTCAAAGTCAGAACTGGAATTCGATGATTGTTTCAGTTCTTTCTCATACTCCTTCATCCGACGAATAAGAAATGCATTCTGGAAATGGAAGTTGCTGATTGAGGAACTCAGGACCTGACCACCACAAGGAATTAGCCAAAAGTTCACTAGTGTCTGCTCCTCGGGATATTATATCCGCTGGATTTTCCTTTGAGGCAACATGACCCCATTTGAATTGGTTGACTCAAGTTTTGAATTTCAGCAATTCGATTGCTCACAAAAGTTTTTTGAGCTTGTACGCAGGCGTGTTTATCCATGCTAGAACAATAGTAGAATCACACCACAAATAAACACATCATCGATACTTAGCTTGCAGAGCTGTTATTACCTTTGACACAAGCCTACACAGAAGTAATGCTCCACACAATTCAAGACGTGGAATTGTAACAGGCTTTATAGGAGAAACTCTGGATTTGCTACAAAGGAGATTGGAATAATTCATTCCATCAGTGGTAATATAACGGATGTAAATAGCTGCACCATAAGCCTTTTTCGAAGCGTCCGAGGACCCATGGATCTCAGTTCTAACGGGAATGTTCAGTTAAAACATATCTGGGAATATTCAATTGATCGATTAACTGAAGCTGGGAAAGGAATTTTTTCCATTCACACAACTCCTTGGGAGGTAATTCCTCGTTCCAGTCCACTTTCAGCAGCCATAGTCTTTGCATGAATATTTTTGCCCTCGTTACTACGGGTCCGAAGAGACCCAATGGATCAAAAAGCTTAGCTATTTCAGATAACACCTGACATTTAGTAAAGCTACCTTGATTGTTCACAGCTGTTTTGAAAGTCAAGTGATCATCCTTCGGTTTCCAGAGCATTCCTAGCGTCTTCACTACACTTTCTTGAGATTCAAAGGAATATTCCTGTGTTGAAATATCATGCAGCAGCAGCTCAGGATGATTGGACACCCATTTATGTAGCTCCATACCTCCACGACGAAGCATTTGTACTAATTCAGACTGAAGCTCCTTTGCTTCTTCTAAAGTATTTCCTCCTGTCAGGATATCATCCATATAAAAATCCGTAGATGTGACCGCAGCCGCCCTGGGAAAATAGTCCTGTTCGTCAGCTGCCAATGCCTTTAAGGTTCTCATGGCTAAGAACGGCGCGCTAGTAGTGCCGTATGTAACCGTACGTAACCTATACACTTGAACTGGGGCCTCGCGGCTTGGCTTCCAAACAATTCTCTGTAAATTTCTTTGCGATGGATGTATGAGTATTTGTGAATACATCTGCTTAATATCGGCACTAAAGGCAAAGCGATGTTTTCTAAACCTGGAAACTATAGAAAAAAGATCTTCTTGAATTGTGCCTCCGTTCAATAGAATTGAATTTAGCGAATAGCCACTGGATGATTTACACGATGCATCGAAAACAACTCTTAATCGAGTTGAAGTTTTCTCCGGGCGATAAACTGCGTGATGGGGAATGTAGTAACAAGTGTCACAGTTATCCACGGGCATAACAGGTTCCATGTGATTTAAGCTTAAATATTCGTTCATAAATTCCTTATACAAATTAGCCATAGTCTTATTAGCATCAAGACGATTCCAAATTGTATTCAGTCTCTTAATAGCAATTTCTTTAGATGAACCCAGCATAGAAGTAGCATCATCCTTCATAGGTAATTTTACTATGTATCTACCTGTTTTATCACGCGAGTATGTTTCATTAAAATGCCTTTCGCAAAATATTTTTTCTTCATTCTTTACGACTTCCTTACCATCTCCCGGGAAGGATTCTAATTCGAAAAACTTCTTAATTGCATTATCGAGACTTGATTCCTTTATCAAATAACAATAGGATTGATTATTAACAGTAGGTAGAACCCCTGTCATTAAATAACCAAATTCTGTGTTTTGCAATATTATGTTTCCATTCAGCGCTTGAACTCTACCTTCCTTCAAGATGTTAAAGAATTCATTCCTATCAAAGTTCATTTCCTATCAATATATTGATTTTACCAGGTGTATAGAAGTTAGGGTCTGCTAATTTAATGTCATGCGGTATCGTTAGATTAGAAATATCCAGTTTTGTCGAAGGAATTACATCTGTTATTTTTGGAATAATACATAATTCTAAATTGTGAGAAAAGGTCTCTGTTTCGTTCGAAATATGGGCTAAAATCTTCGCTTTGATTGAATGAGCTGATCCACTTATTCCCGAAATGTGCGTTCGGATGGGTTTAGTTTTCAAACCCAAAAATTCTGCGCATTCTTTGGTGATGAGGCTCATTTGCGAACCGCAGTCCAGTAAGGCTCTTATTCTGCAGCGCTGCCCGAACACATTCGTCACATAAATAACCACCGTACTCAGTAAGACAGAGTTTCCCGCACCGGAAATGGATGCAAGACTATGTACTGCTTGCTGTATATTGTCACCCGAAGCTTCTTCGGAGGGGTTTGTTTTCCCCTGGTTTGGAGGAAAGCAGGGAGTGTCCGTTGGACTCTGAGGGTCATTGTCCATATGGAGAAGGGAATGATGTTTTCGGAAACAGTGGCTGCACGAAAAGTTTGAATTGCATTCTCCGGAATGAGTTTTTAGACAATTCACACATAATTTTTTTATTTTTGACGATAATGAGCCTATTTCCAACATTCATTTGTTTGAACGCACTACATTTAAAGAGGGCATGGTTTCCTTTACAATGGATACATTTTTTTGAGTTGGAATGAATTGAATTTATAACAAAAACCTTTTGGTTTTGCACCGATACTGGGTTTAGGAGGAAATTTGATAGGCATATTTTTATGAATGCTTTCTAGTACCAAAGTTCGGTTTTCAAAAAAATTTAAAAATTCATCGAGTAATGGAACATCTTTAGATTTTAA